ACCCCGCAGCATGTCCTCACTTTACACATTAACAATTAACACCATCACTAGTAGAAGACGTTGTTAGGACACAAAGAGTACTTGAAGTTCACTTTGTGTTTTTTTCATTCACAATAGAGTTTATATTGAAACACATTTTGTGTTCTACGTACAATACGACACGTGACGCACACAGACAGGACAATAGGGTTAAAGTGACCAACGATCTGGATATATGATCCCATATCATCGATCAATAACTAAATAAATGGGACCATTTTCTTTGTGTGAAGAGTGAAAGAGACAGGCAGACATGCGCACACACTCCTGCAGACAGGAGAGAAGCACTCCCACAGATAATAATGCAACTCTGTGTTTTAATTTGATTGTTGCAGAAGAAGCGAAGCCATTTATCCAGGAACATGAATATGAATTTAGCAGGTTTTTATAAAGATCAGTTCTACGTGTCACGAATCACAACCCCCGCAACAAAAAATATTTGGTGAAGCGCTGATCTTGTATGTGTTGTTGCAGTCGGAGAGATGATCCCTATTGGAACGGCAACAAGAAGATGCAGTCAGAGTCAGATGTCCGCTTGAACCAAGGCTCAAACTACAACCGTCAGCAGAACCGCTTTTCAAACTTCAGCCCCCGAGAGAGGGGACGTTTTCCAGAAGGTGGCGTCGAGCAGACCAACACGTACGACAGGTACAAATTGTGGTGAACTGGTAAAACAAACAGGTCTTGGTTTTTCCATTGGCTTAGTTTCAGTGTTCATCATCTCCTTGGACAACCTCGAAGATATATCTGAACAAACTGCAGCGATTGAACTTTCCCCCCCACTCGTCCTAAAATAAGCTTTGAACAGACCATCAGTCAGATGAAGCTCCCGAACCAGCGGATGATGTTCTCATCTCATGTATCCACACAGATCTGTTTCTCTGTGTCCTCAAACTGTGTATGTTTAAACAACATTAAAGCATCTGTATGATTACTTCACAACAAAATCACAGCTACGCTAATGAATGGTTGCTGAGAAACAAGTGTCTGATCGGAGCCTTGGAAGAACACTTTTGCAAATAATGACTACCTATAAGCCTGACTAACAGATTCGCTGTTTTATGTTGCCTGCTGGCTCATTCGACGTTTCATTCTAACATTTTAATCACATTCTGTTCTTGGTTTTCTTGCCAGACGTAACCGATTTGATGGTGAGCCCGAGGTGAAAAAGAGTCGCCCTGCTCCTCACAGAGAAGGCTCTGGCTTTGAGCGCTACCCCAAGAACTTTGAGACAGTCCGCAGAGCTGAGCCGCCGCCTCCTCCACGCAGTGAACTCAGGGACACCGACCGCAGGGACAGAGATGAGCGAAGACCTGTGCCCATGCACGCTCGCCCAATGGGAGCCAGAGCAGGAATGCCTGGCATGTCACACAACCGTTCACCCAGGGACGGAGGGCATGGATGGAAGAATGATGGAGGGATGAACTCCAACAAAGGAGACATGAGGTAATAGAAGAAAAACTTTGCTGTTTTTTTTCTTCTAATATGTGAAAAGTATTAAGTTTTAAACCTCATTTGTCGTAATGTTTGGTTGAGCAGAGGACAGATGCGTATGCGAGCTGAGCGGTCCGGTCGAGAGGGTCCAGGTCCTGTGCTCAGAGGAGGCTCTTCGGCCAGCCGTGGACGGAGCAGCTTCAGTGATCGAGAGGGAATAAGACCCATGGTGATGAGTAATCAGGTCAGCTGATGTGATGAAGAGTTGGAGTGAAATTCTTAAATTCTCCTGTACTTATGGTACATGATACTGACAGGTCAAGCAAAAAAGGTTTATGGTTTTCTTAAAGCCTTGACATTAAAAAAAACGAATCACTAACAAACAAGCAGACAAAACTCCTTGATTGAGGTAATTAGTCAATTAAAGCTGTAGCTGACGTATACATGTAACAAATCTCTTGTCTCCAGGCGTTCAGCTCCAGCCGCCAGGTTGTGGTGGAGCGTCACAGCAGGGAGCAGGGCGTGAGGAAGGAGTGGCACGGTGGCTCGAGCTCCCAACGAGGCGGCTTCCCTGACAATCGCAGGATGGGAGACACTCGCAGCAGCATGATGTCGACCTCCAGGTAAAACAGATATATAAATAAACGATAGCAGAAGTGACTAATGTGACTCTTGTTCCCAGCAGTCTTTGACAAAGTTTCTATCTCTCTGCAGTCACTCTTCATCTGGAATGAACCGAATTGTACAGATCACCAGCAACTCCATTTCCAGCGGTAGCAACGTGGGCGGATTCAAACCCTTCAAATCAACACAGCGGCAGTTCTAACTGCAGCCATACTCTGTAAAGCCACTTTAAAGCACCTGGAAAATGTCTGAACTCTTTATTTTTTAGGATATAAACTGTTTTAGGTGTTACATTTGTAGCCAGGAGGTTGACTACATCGTTTTATTTTGTATAGACAAGTGTTTACCTCAGTGTGGGGTTTTCCTGACAGTTCCGCTGTTATCAATAAACAACCCTTGCACATGTTTTACTTATATTGAGGAGAATATTGTACAGCCCTAGGTCTTTGTAAGTAAAGTTTTCCAGTGATGTTATCAACCTCTCCTCTAATTGAGTGTCGTATGTACATTTTCAATAGACCAGTGTCTCACATGGTTTCCCTATGTACTGTCTACTTTTAGTGTATTATAGAGCTCCCTCAGCGATGAGCTTTCACTTATTTGGATGTTTATTTGTCAGGAAACATGATGTAGGACACTGTTTTGTTTTTTTTAATTCATACTTTGTGTTACTTTGGAAACATTAGTTTCTAAATAACAGGCACTGTAGCAAACATGCCTCTCAAAGGCCATGAATTAATTTACACAGGCCAGTGTCTCTGAAATATAATCTGACTTTCAAGTGTGTTGCTGCAAGTCTTTGAAAGGACTATCACAGTTTTTCTTTATTTGCTCATTGTTGGGATGGTACAAAATCTTCTCATTCAGTTCTCAGCTTACATTGATTTTGTAAGATATGACATCAGGGCTTTATTTAACCATATGTTACAACCAGGAAGTTCTCTTACGGCAGCATTTAAAATATGTTTGAAAGAAGTGGTTCACGACATGAAATGTGCATTTTGACAAATGGTCGACCGGTTGATTCTGTAGTGGAGGTACCATCATGTTTTTCAATTTAATTTATTTTCTCATTTTCTTTTTATACCTGTCAAGTTTCTTTAATCCTTTTGTATTTGGACCAGTGCTACACATCCCGGACTGCCATGCACCTACTCATAACACACTCTTTACCTACACATCTGCTGTAAATGGTTGATAAAGCTTGATTAAACTACAAAAAAGTGAGACTCAGAATGACTTGTGCTGATTGTTGGCTCATGGTAGTGGCTGTTTCTCCTCTTTTAACCTTGTGTTGGTTCTCTGTAAACTTTATCAGTTACACACTGGCCCCTGGTAGGATTACCACAAATAATTGAGGTCATGAAACGAGTGTGTTGGAGGTTTTCACTATAATGTAGGACTTTAAGTTGATGTGGGTTGCTGACAGGACCATCACAAAATGTAGCTTATTATAGTTATATTATAGCAGCTGTCTCCTTAGAAGCCTGTCTCGTACCTTACTATACAAACAGAGTAAAATCTCACTACAAAATGAAAAGATAAGGGAACTGAGTGCCTTGCAAAACCACTGTACTCACCAAGGTTATTGTATTTTTTAGTAATTCCCTGGAAGATTAGTGAAAATGTAAGAAAAATGTAAAAGGAAAACAATTCCTGGATCCACACTCATTTAATGTTTTATTTCCTTGGTCCATGTCTCATCCTTTCATCAAGTTTCATGGAAATCAGTTCAGTAGTTTGATTTAAATAATACTAACCATGCAACCAACAAACCAAAGAGACATGGATGAAAAAAATGATAGATGATGATAACAATGATTGCACACTTTGTGAAATTGGTATTTGAATGATAAAAAGTGAAGGAATAAGATGCAACAGATAAATGAATGATTGACACTGAACGCTGCGATCAAAAAAGTGATCGGGTGATAGATCACAAATGACGAAACCGAACCAATGATTCATCTTATTCTTTTATTATCCTCGTAACTTCTAATCAGGTTGAATGTCCCTCGTCTATAAGGCATTTTGTTATATATTTATAACCATATACAATATGTGACTGTAATGTGAAAGGCTACATACATTATTTGGTCATTTATGTAAATAGATGAACATTGAAATCAACACAAATGAGTAACCTCCCATATTCACAACCCCAATCCTTTTTGCTTGTGTGTTTCCTGTTGAACAGTTGAAATGAGATTCCTGGGGTATAGTTGATGATTTCATTTCTCTTAACCTTAAACTGTTTGGTCCAACCGATACTGCACGAGCACCACAAAGTCAAATGTGGGCGTCTGATATTGCATTAAAGGAAACGTCTCCCTTTAGATTGTTCAGCACTGTGGACGTCTTTCTCACGCAATAGGAACAGACAAGTCCCTCTGTTACATACACGTCAACGCTCGAGCTTTATGAAGCAGAATCCCCCCCCTTTTTTTTCTATGTTCAAGATTGGGTGCATCACACTTGTGAACATCATGTGGTTAAATGATGGACTCTGGTCTGGAGAAAAACCTGAATTAGAGGTACACCTACACCAGTTTTTTGCTGATTGAATGGATACCAGTGTTTTTGTAGAAAACCGCTTTAAATGATTTGCATGTAGCTACTGTTATCATCCATTACGCCCTCACCACCTACGAGCCGTGTGCTTGTACTCGGACCTTTGTATAGGTTGAGTCTGTTGTTAGTGTACCGCTAACCTGAATATATCAAATTGCATCAAGTTCTATTGAAGTGGAGCTATCATGATCTTTTTCTTTTCTTTTAAACAAATGTACACATGTCATTTGAAGCCAAAACATTTAAACAGCCCTTTCATACTTTGACAAATTAATATTATTCTCCTGGCTTTGAGATCAACCACTCGAGGTCATTCTTTTGGACATTATTCTTTTTTTTTTTTAAACGGTACCAATAGAACAATAGCACTCTTGCACAATTTCTGTTCTGTATAAAATGAGGTATGTTTCTCTTCTGTTAGTGCATATAAATGTAACAGTGCAAAACCAATTACAACGATTATATGTTCAACAACCACCTTGTCAAAATACTAGTTTTACAGCATTTACCCCACCATCACTTTTACAAGGCATACAAGAAACCACGCAGAGACACTGAACACACAATATCCTTCTGATCGATTCGTCATAGGGGGGAAATAAACACGTTACAACAGAAAATAGTCAAATCCTGGTAATAATGACTAGGGGTGGCAAGCAAAAGCACAGGTAATCTGAAATAATAATATAAATGTGTGGCTCCATGTTCTTTTCACTCTTACAAACACCAATAAACCAATAAAACTGAACTCAAACTGCCCAAGTGAGGTTTCATTTAAACTTAAACTTCCACTGGAATGATAGATCAGCATGTTCACTTGATGGGCTGAGGCGTAAATGAGGTGAAACTCGGTAAAGACAAAAACAAAGAGGGAAAAGAAAAATATTGCCACAAAGCCGCCCTGCTGCCTTCTGGCTTTCACCTTATGATTATATCTCAGCTGCATGGAAAAAAAACAACTACTAAGGAGTCAATGAAACATGTACATAGTTAACGATGTTCCTTAACCCTGTCCAAGGAAGGAGTTTATTTTTCTTTACATAATCCACCTTAACACAAGAGGAGCAGCTTTAAGTCAACCTTATCTTTTAGTGTGACGTTACCCACCAGGGTCTTAAATAATAAGAGTGTTAAGTCCTTCAAAGTGTCAAATAGTAGTTATGATCATACACACACAGACACTTAGAGTTGTGACGGACAAAGTGACTACAGGCCGAGGAACTGTGCCATTACAAAGAATACCATTTGAAAAAGACACTCGAGGATATATGTCCCTTCAGTAAAAGGCCTGAGAGTATTTCTGATGTCTGTGTGAAAAATGCATGGATTGTCTCATTCTGCTAATACGCCTGTTTCCTTTTGTCCTATAAAATATGCTGAAATGTCGTAAGGCGTCATATATATTTATATATATATATGTACATACAAAACATAGACTTGTTGGGGTCAAGCGAACACACAAGCTCAAACTCAAACTGCAGGTTCCCCACACAGTAGGTAGCCCCGCTGCCTCCGTGCGATCGTCCTGTCCTGACAGTGAACTTGTTCTCACCGAGCCAAAATAACGGAGGCCGTTTTTTTTTTACAAGCACTGCGGACACCTCCTGTTACAACCGTGTCCCTCAGTCTGTGGTCGAAGGCTTGAGTCAAGGCATCCAATTGGAATGTATAGGTAGAAAAAGGTTTCTCAGGAGGCAGTCCCATGGTACAACAACAATGGTACAACCCACTAGCTGAAGAAACGCATTAGGTAAATATGTACATCGTGTGTTTGCAGTGAAATGAAGACTAGCTCATACCACAGAGGTTCAGTATTCAGAGTGTATATTCAACACCTCAATATGTGAACTTTCTAATTTTACTCCTGTATTTACACAGGGGCTGATGGTAATTTCTTCTAAAAAAAAAATGGGACTTTGATAATAACTTGGCGATAACATAAAAAAATATCCCAACATTGTGACTGGAGTTAAAATCAATGCTTTGTCTTTATCTCACAGTTTCATGTCCAGGTACATAAATATTAATCTAGTGTAGTGGAATATTACATGTGAATTACTGAAGTCTGTGGTATTTCTTTGCAAAACCTGGCTGCAGTGGAACTTCTACATCTGGAACCTAACGAAAGAGATCAGGATTGTGCCGCACACACGTTTGTACTTCTACCTTAGTGAGGACACTCACTGACATTAAACATTCCCTTCAACTTTACCATCCAAACTAAATGATCTAATCTAAACCCAATTTTAACTCCAATACTAAAACCAAGTCTTAATGTGTGAGGACCAGTCAAAATGTCCTCACGTTCCAAAAACGTCCACACTCTGTAGGGTCTATGTTTAAAATGGTCCTCAGAAAGATAGAAGTACAGGAACACACACACATGCGCGCACACACACTGTGCGTGACTGTGAGAAAGAAAAGGGTCGTTCAGAACCACCACACACTCCAAACTGGGTGGAATCTCATACAAACCTAATCTGCCAACAGCTCGTTGTGTCTCACAGGAGCATCAGCTTCAAACTAAATTTGACCCAAACCTTTTTTTTTGCATGTGTAACACAGTATCACAACACAACAGACATCAAATGTCCCAAATTTGCAGCTTAACTAACACAGAGTTTGGCTATTTCCAATTAAATGACACATGCAAACCGCACGCAGCTATACCACGTAGCACACATGTATTGTACAAACCACACACATGGAAACAAATACACATTCAAACAGAGCAGGATACGACACTGCCACTCTCTGTTAAGGCAAATCTGAACAGGGCAAGCTGTGATGAGTATTGTCGTGAAGCTACAGTATCTGGCAGCTATCTGGTATTGAGGGTTTCCATAGTGTTTCAGAGGGGGCACAAACAGTGTCACCGTTATTTCCAACAGGCAATATTATCAACAAAAAAAATCCCTTTCAGCTCAAAGACAAAAAAAAAAAAAAAAAAAAAAAAAAATGCTCCCAAAAGCTTTGTGTTACAGAGACATAAATAAAATGTGAATCTTGGCATCGAGAGTAAACTTACAAAAAACTAAAACATGTGGTTTCGTCTACAAAACGTTTTGTAAATATTGATAAGTACAAAAAAAAAGCTTATAAGCTGCAAAAATGAAAAATTAGTGACATGAATGATGGATTTTTTTTGGAAAAGATTATGGTGAAAGCATAACATTGTGTTTCTTTAGATTATATATTTTTGCTATAAAATATACCAACCCAGATAAATTTGACCCCACATCACAAATATAGTGCACTGTGCAACTTGTAACAAAGTTTGGCCGACTCTATGAAAGATAAGGGGTAGTTGTTGTTGTCGTGTCCCTTCCTCTGATGTCTAGGTTTAGAGGATAGCAGGCACCAGTGGTTTGGGAACAGCGAATCCTCTTAGTCTCTCCTAAATTGTCTCCTTCCCTTGTTTGTCATCCAGTGGGGCTCCGAGTTGTGTGTCCAGTCCACGGAGAAACAAATGCTGTCCCTTTCCTCACAGATTAGCAAATGCACAAAACACACACTCACACAGACACGCTGTATGTTACAAAATAACACATTTGTCTTTATCCTTCGCTTCTTTCTTGGTTTTGCGCTCCCCACTTGAGGACTGCTTTCCCGGACTGGGCGTGGCTCCGGCCGCTGCTGCCGTCCCGGCACCGGCTGCCGAACCACCTGCCCCTGCACCTCCTCTGTCCGCCTCGTCTCCCTCCGCAGCCTCCTGCTGGCCCTGTTGCACAAAATGTATTGAAGAGCAAAAGTGTATAAATATATAGATATGTGCTTGTTATAATGAGTGTGTTAGAGCTACTTGGATTAATAGGCACACCCACAAAAAGCATCTGCTGAAATGAATGATTCCTCACAAAAAAGAGAAATTTGAAGAAACACGATCAAGAACTTTTCTGCATTAAGCTGGAAATGATCACAAAGTCATCTCAAGGAGTTTAGATTTTCATCAGTCTACCGTTGGACAAACTGTTTAAAGAAGGAAGATGATTTAGTTCTGTGGTTGCTCCCTTTGGAAGTGAACGCCCAATTAGATAATTAGATGACACCATGCAGAATGATCAGTGAGGTAAAAATAAGGTCCAGAGCAGCAACAGCTGAAGGCTCGGAGGAATCATTAGAGCTGGTTCATGAGTCACCACAACACAAGTCGTGGTTGCAAAATGGAGCAAAGTGTTCATGACAAGACACGACGGAGGAAGCCACCGCCCCCCTTTAATAAAACATTCACTGCACACCTGCTATAGTGTTACTGGAAAAATGTTTTGGGGACTGATGAAGCTGTGTCTGAGTTGTTTATGATGAACATGCAGCAGTACACATGGGGCACACCAAGCTGCTCTGCTGCCTCTGGGCCTGGATAACTGACCACCATTGAGGGGAAAATAAATGAATCCCAAATTACTGAAGACTAGTGCAGCACCCCTTCTAAACAGGCCTGTTTAAAATGGGCTGTGTGCCTGTAGCTTCTGTCTGAAACTAAAAGTGACCGGCAGAAACTGAAAAGCCCTCGTGCTGGACTCTGTCCACAGAACCCTGAAGCTGCACCACTGCTGCTGCACAAAGAGCTGTTCGCCTGTTTCAGTGGAGCTCATCACTTAAGTTCATGAGTCCAGGCCACTGCTACAGAGCGCTGTTCATGGTATATTTAAAGTTTATGAATGTATCGTGTTTCCAATTGGCACCAAATTCGACACCACACCTCCCCGGGCCCTTAATAATGCCAGGTGTGAAGGCGATGAGATGAACAGTTCTGAACATATGCGAGGATCATTTTTCTTTCCTCTGAATATCTGGGAGTGTAATGACTTTCCTCAGCACCTAGGCAGCTCTACAGACATGAACGGAGGCAGCGTTAGAAGAAAGAAGGAGGTGCCGCTGTCCCTTTTCATGCTCAGCTCCTCCTTTATCGCTCAAACTCTCTGATGCAGTGATCCATCTGTCTCTTACTACATTAAATGACCCACATTTGTTCAAACTCCTACTTCTCCTCCCTCTCCCATCTGCTTCCATCTCCCTCAATCCCTCCCTCCCCACCTGTGCCGCTGCCGCCGCCTGCTCCTGCTCCTGCTCCTGGTAGTACTGGGAGGCTCGTCGGTCTTCTTCCTCCTGAAGCTTCTTCGCCAGCTCGAGGTCACTGATGCCCTCAGGGAGCTGCTCCCACTGTAGGTCCTGGCTTTGCTGCTCCTGCTGCAGTGACAGCGCCATTAGATAATCCTGATACAAACACACAATGAGAGACTTGATCATTTCGGAGCACAGCTGTCATTTTGATGCCGCGTTCTGATTATGCAACTTAGTCATTCCTCAGCCTAAACAGCACGGACCAATCAACTATCCACAACCACAGTTCTTTGCTTATTGACTGAATGACCGAACTGTGTCTGTTGTTATTCATTTTCACTTATATTCCTATTTTTAGTGGTTCCATTTAGGAAATGTTCTTCATTGTATTATATTCAGACCCAATTTCCCCACGTGGAATTACACGTTCTCTCCAATTTAACTGAAGTGATTATGAGTACATGAATTGCCTGAAAACTTTTTTCTCACCACGCTTTATCTTGTAGATACTGAGGGCTGAGCCCGAGTAAGCACAGAAAATAAGAAAAATAATAGCCCCCATGCTCAGGTCCAGCCTGTGTGTGTGTGTGTGTGTGTGTGTGTGTGTGTGTGTAAGCAAACAGCAGTGAGTTGAAATAAAAATGTATAGGAGACATAACCCTGCTGCATTGCTTCGGGGCCTGTGTAGTTATACAGCAAAGCACGGATCAGAATGAAAGGAGGGACTTGGACTTGGCAGATTGGTGTAAGGAGGCATTACACATTTATTATTTAAGAACCTTCATTTTTTTTAGCCTCGGATGTTGCACAATTGATTTTTCCCTGTAATCCCTCCCTTCTATGATTGTGTGGCTTTCTGGTGTTTTCTAGGTTTTTGTCTAATATCACTTTTTGTTTCTTTTTCTTTTCTGTTCCACACATGCTTAAAGAAAGTACAGTGAGGCAAAGCTGGTCCTGCATTCTCTCTTTGCTTTTGTGGTCCTCTGATGGCGAGGAAAGCACATCAAAAAATAAGCATATCAAGATGTGGTGGTAGATAATTGCTTGGTTCTGCTAGTCTTGCCTGCGTCAGTGCTCAGACCTGGTCTATCTGATCTTGCTGGCCGCGGTACACCGTCTCTGGGTCGGAGGGCGGCCGCAACCGGAACTCGGAGTCACAGAAGTTGCCATCTCCGTCGACATTGTGCAGACTCTCCCAGACGACCTTCTCCTCTGTCAGGAAACCTTGATCTGTAACCAGGAGGTACAGCTGGCCCTGGGGGGAAAACACATACACATATCTTATCAGTGTAACACTCCATACAGACAGTTAGTACACACCCACACAACCTGCATATGGCTGTTTATCATGTGTGACTATATGTGTTCATGTAGAAGTCCGCAGATGAGTGATTACAAGAGAGCCAAGGCCGAGGCTGAGGTTATAGGTAACACACACAGCTTTGCTTGTATTGGCAAGGATGGTGTATGATTAAAAAGGGTAGTGTGCAGACTTCACTTCCCCTCCTGTGGTCAACAGGAAAGGTCTGTTCCAGCTGCAGTGAAATGGTGAGCCAGCTGTGGGCCGTTCCAGATGGGACGCACTGAATGGGAATGAGAATGATCTAATAGCTTATATATCGGTCACACATAAATATGGAGCATTCACTGTTTCGAGATAAAAAAAAAAAAGTCTGTGTGGTGAACATGATGAAAAGTACTAATGAGCTTCAGCAGAAAGGTTGAGGAAACTGAGAGGAGGGCAGATGCTAACACTTAGAAATATTACAAATATTTTTCTGAATCTATCTGTAGATAATAATTCAAAATACTGAAACACAATACAAATTTATTTAGCTGACACACTATTAAAGTGACACTATTATGTTTATAAATGGGTCATTAAGCTTAAAAATTACAATACCACTCATGCTCTATTTCTTTTAACACATTATGACCTGAGAGCCATCAACCGAGTAGTGCATTATTATTTTGAATGTATCTGACTACACCGATCACTAAGGGCTGTTCAACAACAGGATTTAGTGATATCAGTAAGGATTTCTCAGCAACGACTCAAAAACTAAAGCTCAAAAGTCCTGAAGGGATGACATTTTTTTATTCAACTTAAACTCTTATAATCACTCATACTACTGTTGGGATAAATATGGAGCTGGAAAAAAGCTTTGAAATGATAGAACCTGCTGTTTTGTGCATGTGTGAAAGGCAAACTGTGGATAGACATTGTCGTAGTCATTTCTCTGGATTTTACCCACAGGTCCTGCCCGGAAACGGTTTTAGACACATACAATTTTGTATCCATAACTTTCTCATGTGACCATATCAGCAAGTCTATTTTCAATTAGATTTGTGATGGTGCGGCCTAAAAGTGATTTCACATGGAATTACACACAGGTGGATTTGCTGATAATTGTAATGAGCATATGGAGAGAAATAGAAATCTAATTTCACTTGCTGGTTATTTCTCGAGCAAAAAGCAATAACTGTTCTATAAAGGTTTAAGGGCCTCATGATCCATGTCACTGATGTAACATGTACTCCTCATTTAAGTTGTGGCGATTTCTGTTACGCTCCGCACAGGAATTTTAATGTATTGCCCTAACAATGCCAACAATGACTTTAGTGTCTACCTTGTATTTGATCATGGTGCTGAAGTGGTTGTTCCTGAAAAAGACGCAGAGCTCTCCCTCCTGTACAGTGGATGTGAGCTCACATAGGCCGTGGTACGTCAGCTGAGTGGCTGTGCTGCTCAGGAACTGCTCTGCTACGATGCCTAGGATGAGAGAGAGAGAGAGAGAGTATAGAAGGAGAAACTGAATTAATGCTTGATTTTGAAATGCAGAAACTTGGAAGTTTACTTGAATATTTTACTCCATCTAATGACTTTAGTGCTTGCATGCAATCAAACACTAATTCATGAAACTATTCTGAAAGCATAAGGTAGAAAAACTGCTGTAATGTCTGTCGTCTGTTTGAACAGTGTGAGTCTCTGCTCACTGTAGTGAACCCAGTATAGGCTGAGGGACACATGAGCGACATGTGTGAGGCAGACCAGCGTCCGATTTGTCTTCAAAGAGTTATATCCACAGATTTAAGCAGTGACCAGTGGCACCGGCAGCAAACCACTTACAGGAAGTGCTGAAAGGATTTCCCATCCTGCAAATGGAGAAGCTGAGTAGAAAAGAAGGGAATCTTCCACATAAATATCACCATTGACCAAGATGTTGATGTGTTGACCTGGCTGCAGCTCGGCCAACAACCACTCAGGAAACTCAGTGTTGAATAAGCAAATATTTACTTGAGAAGTTTCTGACAGCTGGTAAGAAAAGTGTGAGCTGTGGAAGTAGGTCATTTTGATGAGTGTCCTGGTTTGATTTGAACCTGGTGAAGAATGTGTTTGCACTGGACGGACCAATGAGTGAGTAATTTAAAAGTCAGACAGGTCAAAAGAAAGTAGTAGGAGTGAAGAGAGAGCGCCCACCTTCACCTGCCAGCTCGCTGTTGTCAGACTGTTTGCAGGATATTATCTTCTCCACCAGCTGGTTGTAGCTGCAGTTGCCCACTGCCTTGACAATGTCATGCATCTGCAAACATAGATATAAAGCTGTGAAGAACATTCACCAAACTGTGGTGTTGTTTTACTGAGCACCACTGAAGATCAATTCAAAATTTAGAACAGAGAGAAAACAACAAGGGGGTTTATACTACAGGTATATATACTATACTATCCACTGTGTAAACCAGATTCCTTTGTGCAATGGTTCAACCAAACTCTGGAATATTAACCTTTTCATTTTGTGGTATTAGATAAAACTGAATTCAAAACTAAACAAATACATTTACACAATCCATCTGCTAGGAGTCGTCAGGGAAGTCTTTCAAAATGAAACATATACAAATACATATATCATCTCTGCTAAATTCTACAGCGAGTCAAACTAACGGCTCTTTTTTAACCTTTTCCTTTTCTGATTTGTTGGTGAGAGTCATTCTGAAGTGCTGACAAGCGTATGTGTTACCACAGTTACCAAGAAGTTTGCGATTAGCCATAACATCGAATGTTTACTCTGCTTAGTTTATTTGTGATAAGTTAGTCTGGATACAAACAGGAACAGGACTACGTGACTATGAGGAAAATGTTTTACCATTAAATTGGACCAAATATTCCAAGCTTTATATTTCATATCTAAGTGGATTTTAATGTTGAGGATCGACAGCAGGTCAAAAAAAAAATATCAAAAGATGGGCTTCAGGGAGTTGAGGAGAAAAGTGATTCCATCTCACCTGGGGGTCAACCAGCCAGCCGTGGTAAAGGGGGATGTCCAGCAGATCAAACACAATGCATTCTGGGGTGTACTCGAAGACTCGCACCCCCGTGAACTTCACATTCACATCCAGACCGGTCTGCAGCTTGTGCAACACAGCCATGGCATCACTCATGTTCTGGGAAACAAGGAGAACAAAGACACAGGTTCTTGTTAAAAACTGTGGGATAAATGAGAAGACTCGTTTAACGATGTGAACTTGAGGTTTACTCAAACAACTATAAAATCACATTATGTTGAACCACTGAATCCAGCTGCTTAATGTGCTGTAAGCTGCCATTATCTGTTACATTCATCCTGGCCGCCTGAGCAGACAGCACATCTTTACGAGAAACCATTAGATGTCATTTATTCCTGTACAATACACAGAAATCAGCTTCACGGTAACTTCAAAGTGTAGCTGTTTTCATATTTACTGCTCTTATTGGCTTTTTCTTCGTCCATCAATCAACCTTCAACCACAGGAAGAAATGGAAGTCGCTGCCAGGAAACCATGTGATATTAAATGTCTGTGGGAGCTTTCAGACTCCTCCTCATGAGACATGATATTTCCCTTTGACAATATTAACAATGAGCAGACAGCATAACAGGAATAAAAGGCAATAAAGAGCAATCCAGTAGGTCTGCAGCCCAAAGCTTTTGTTTGATTTTGGGGGCTTTGCCTTCATTTTTTATATTGGACCGTAGAAACATGACAGTGAATGAGGGCAGAGACAGAAGGGGAATGATGATGCAACTAAGGTCGTCAGCTGGGCCGAGGACGCTGCGCTACAGTAAACACCAGTTAAATGTGAAAATCTTAGTCACGTCAGACAGATGACTAACTCCGTTTCCATTGTAAACTTACAATGTGTAACTTCGGCCACTAGGGGTACCTCAATCAAAACAATAACAATAAACCTAGTTTTAATGTTGTGTGGCAGCAATCTTATCTTATCTGAAATATCTTAAAACTCACTACTACCTCCTGTAAACACAGTTATTATTAAATAAATAAATAGAACTCAATTCTATATAATTTAAATGACTTTAACACTGAAAACATTTGATGTCTTTGTGTCCAGATGATGGGAGATGAGTCAACATGCATTCACTTCACTTTTCCAAATGACAGCCCCTCCCTCTCTCTTTACTACTTTGCAGCTATAAACAGTTATGACGCTGTGACTAAATGCAAAAATCTTGAAAGAGTAAAAGACCACTAGAATCTGCAATACTCCGTGTTAATAGTAGCAGACAGTGTGCTGAAGACAAAAAACTAGGTTCCTCCACAGAACCTCCACACCAGGTGAGTAACATTACACAAAACAGAGAGTGAAGACATAAAGATGCTCGGGGCAGGAAACTAGATACATTTACTGAGTAAAACCCAGAAAGCCCTAAAACACAGAACACAACATGATGTAAGACGAGAGGTTCTGGGTTTCATTCAGCAGAACAACTCTTGATGGGCTTCACGTCATATTCTGGATATCTGTGTAGCTTTGCAAATATAATTTAACATCATTCCATGTTTAATCCAATAAACTGCTTTGATATGTTTGATATTACACAGACCCTGAAAAAGCATAACTTCTGCTTGGATCTCTTCTCTTTAACCGTAGTAGCTTTTTACCATCTTGTGCTTTAACCATGGTGAATATACAGTGTTAACATGCTGACTGATGCAACTGTGATCTCCCTGAAATAAAATCCCACTTCATTTTTGTTTCTTTTTAAAGCTGCTTTCATGCTTTTGAGGAATATTTGCATCAGTTGTACCAATTTTCAACTTGTTGTCTCTGTTTTTATGTGGCCTCAACAAAATTGAGAAAAATATCACTACATTCTGCTTTTTCATCTTAATTAGAAAACCATTTTGGTTTTCAAACAGAGTAATCAGTTATAGGAAGATAGTGTGGCTTTGTGGCTCTGGAAACAATTGTATCAATTAAATTCAATGAGAATCAAAAACTGAATTTTACTTAGATATTTAACATAGGTAATAGAAATAAGCACAATTTGCCCGGTCACATTTGTAATAACTGACATTGTCCTAAGAAGCGTTGTCTACTTTACATCCACATCACATCATAAGTGTGCCACATAGAGACACACCTGAGTTCTCACCTCACACCTGAGAACCCGCTGAGAAAGCATAATAATAATAATAATCAATATAATGTTGTCATATAGTTTACTCCAATAAAACAGAAGGTGTTTATGTCTGTTTATTGGTTTGTAAACAGGATTAAGCAAAAGCTTCAGGATGGATTACCACGAAACTTGGTGGAAAGATGAGGTGCGGGCCAAGAAACAACCCATTTAGTTTCGGCAAATCCAGAGTACCATGGTGACAGGGTGGTTTTCAACATTTACTTTGATTTCTTAGGGAATAAATAATGGATCTTGATGAAAAAAATGCATTTTTTAGTGAACTGATATCTATGAATTTGCTGCTAGTTGATTGAATTTAAGGGGACAGTGCCATTCTAATTTTAAGTGAGAAGAATTTAGTCCGATTATTTTATGTGTTTACAATGTTGATGTTGATACCACAACCATGTTCTTATTCATACTGTGGGATTTATTTCAGCCAGTGTGTATTGCTTAGTTTGCTTGGACACACTATTGTTGAATGGTTAAAAAAGCATCACCGTTGTGAACAATAAACTTGAATCATCCATGCTACGCTGCATTCCCTGTGTACGTGCACATTACGAAATGTAATAACCTTTTATTTTGACCTTCTCTCATTGTCCTGTGATGGTGTAATGATATCACATAGCCAATGATTGAAATAACAGATGTAACTCAGGTTACAGAGACAGATTCTATACATCCCACGAGCAGTGAGTTACTGCAGCTTTAGTGCAGAGCTGAGGTGAAAAGACTTTCTGAGTGTGCGGATTAGGTCACTTCTGAGCAGCACTGATGGCAGGATTACCAGGGCTGTGTAATGGACCACATCTTTTCACTTTAGGGCAGAGGGCTCCAACAGCAGATGAGCGCTTAGAGATCAGGTGATTAGCACTGCATCGCTCACATTCATCTGCACTTGTGTTGGATACATTTTAACAATATAACATTGACTCTGCTGAGGCTTTGCTTGTTTTTTTTACTTTCACTTTTCTATGGGAACTTCTCAAATAAAATTTACCAGGAGTAGTTAACTGGTGGGTCCCAGAATATGCTATGAGGAGAGCTTATGAAAAAGAGGACTGGCTTCAATATGAGCTACTTTCCTCGGGTTTGTTTCACAGTTTAAAACCAGCACAGCAACATTTTTGACCTCAGAAATAAATATGAATAAATACATACATCGTACAGACATTTTACTAAAGAGCTTTGGCAGGAACAGTTCCAGAAACTGTTCAGAGCAACTGACTCTGACATTTATGTTCTCACATTCATCCCTCTGGAAAATCACTGCAGGTTTGAAAGCAGCTTAATACTGTGATGAAAATTGTTTGCGTCATTGCTCAACAGAAATAATATTAGAGTTTATGTTAATGCACATTTTATTAGTCTGGCTATATTTGTGTCTATAAAACTCTTTAAAATATATAGAGCAGATCTATAAACATAAAAAACCAATACAGTAAAGTCTTATGTAACGTCATCAGTGGGAGCTGTAAATAATGAACACTTTACGAGACTGTAATGTCCCATAATGTGGGTCACACTTGCATGAAACACATCAGCGGCTACGACTGCTCTACATTTTAGACCTTATTTAAATAAATAAATACACAACTTGATATAATGCAATCCAGGCTTAACATTGACCACAAGGGTGAATCAGCTCCTTTCCCACATGGTCAACATGAAGTTACTATGAGCCCAAAAAAAACAAGCATTGTTTTGCACTGGAGCTACTGTAATGGATTGCATTCAATTGTACACGTGTATGTAACACATTGATAAGCCTGTGTATAGCTTAATCTCTGATCTTATAATTAGATGGCTTGAATTAAATCAGTGTCCAGCACCATAACCTGCACAACTGATAGCACAGTCTCTCCCTCTACTAAGTGCTGCACTGTATGAATGTGTGTGGGTGAATGGCGTACTGTAAAGCGCTTTGAGTTGTCATCAAGACTAGAAAAGCGCCATATAAATACAAACCATTTATCCACTCAGTGCTCTGTTCTTCATACAGAGCTGAAAAACTGAGCTGTTTCTCCTCATGAGCTTTTATGATTCTAACTTTAAAAAGAAGCATTTATTTGCTTTAGTTTTTTCTGTTATTGTCTCTGCTTATTCAAAGATGTACAGTACATCCTGCTGATGAATCACCACCATGGAGGTTATGTTTGTTGGTTGGTATGTTTGTGAGCAAGATTTCACAAAAACGGCCGAATGGATTTCCAGGAAACTTGGTGAAAGTTTGCAATATGGGTCAGGGAGGAACCCATTGAATTCGGGGGGGATTTCTTTCACTTTCTTCAACATTGACAAATAGAGCGTTTTTCAACATTTTCCTCGATTTCTCAGAGAATAATATCTTGTTGAAAAAAAACTAGGCAGATTTATGGAACTGATATCTATGAGTGAGTGAACTCTGGTGCAGCTTGACTGGATTTAGGGGACTGTTGGGCCTTGGCAGAGGTATGCGTTCTACTGAGAGCCATTCTACCAAACACAGAGTGTCTACCAAACAGATATGCATGAAAAATCTGCATCCACTCATTATCCATCAGGCCTGGGCTAATGTGCTTTTTGAAACCCACACTGGGACTGTATCTGCTTCAGTCAGCACAAAAGAAATGGAAACATCAGTGAACAACGTCCATTACTGCAAATGACGTCAAATTAAAACAAGAGGCTTCTTGAACGTGATAACGCATTTCCTCCAATGGCTGAACAGTCATCATGGATGAATTGCCTTGCACGAGTGCTGCCGAGCAGGGTCCACTGAGGCAAAAGCAGAGCAAAGCTATACTCTCACTTCCACAGCTCCTCTGAGTAAATATTTAACAATAGCTAAAGAGCTGCTGTGCTGCTATTTTAATCCCTCATACACTCCTGTGACAGACAATGTTTTTTCAAGCTGAATATATAAATAGAACGACTTCTGTTATGAACACCTACAGCTCTTCACTGAGTCTGAGCTGCTTCAGTTGTATTTCCACAATAAGCGATGAGAACACAATTCTTTCAGAAGTAAAGAGGAGGAAAAACCTTCTGCCCGATGTGCACATGAACCTTCTCACAGACTTTCCCTCACATCCCACAGCCCTGCCCACCGTGGGCTCCACATTCTGTATCAACCACAGCACGGACACGCATGGCACATGACATGAGGACACCCACATGCTAAACAGCTCCCCGGGCACTAGACCACCATAATGACTATGCAACACAAACTTTCACCGCTCCCTAGCTTTAACAGTGCATGCCGAACGCACCGCTGACTTATTTAAGAGGCTGCATTTCAGTTTCAACTTAAATTTAGAAATAGCCATTCAGTGAGCATCTATGGAGGAGAGCGAACATGTTTTTTTTCCTCCTCTCTAAATGAGGGACAAGTGTGGATTCAAATCATTCACAGATGTGCTGGTGCTTTGCCACGCAAGAGGAGGAGAGGCAGGGAGCCTCCCACTCCATCGGCAGGCATTGGAGATGGGAGGAAGCAGGGGAGTTAGTTGGAGCTGGAGCTCCATCTCTAAGTGTCTTTCATGGTAAACCGCACACAGACGCACACACACACAGACGCACACACACACASASRCACACACACACASASACRCACACACACACAGAAACACACACACACAGAAACACACACGGCCTCAGTAATAGCCAGGAGCTGAACCCAGCCATGCATCTCTAAGCATCCACCACCATGTGAAACAACATAATCTGACACTCCTGACCTCTGTTGTTTCCTGGACTTTGCAAGACACATCTTATGTAACATATAGAGCATGGGAAAAAAAACGCTAAGCTGCATCTTAATGTGGTTAGTAATCAACCTGATGTTTATTTCCATTTTACGCAACATCCACTGACCTTCTCTGTAACGTCAATGCAAATGTGAAAACCTGCTTTCAGCATGAAGCAACACTGACTGTGCATGTGTGCGGGTACATCAGAGAAGCGAGGTGAAAATATATTGATAATGGTCACAAGGAGAGATGAAGATATTTGAGTCTGTCTGTGCGACATGAAAGTTTATGTTAAACTTGCATGGTTATGTTTTTTCGACATAGAGAGGGAGAAAGAGAGGAGACAAAGAGGGAGTTCATTCCAACAGCACTGTGCTGCTCGAGCACCATAAACAGTCAGCAGCTTACAAATGCACACAGATAAGCAAAAACACATGCCCGTTTAACAGTAGAACAGTATTTTGTGTCGACTGGGCAGATCTTACCTGCTCATAGTTTAGCCGCTGAGCCTCTGATATCTCTTTAGGCTTGGTTTCAAGAATGTAGTCTCCTACAGAGGGACAGAAAGAGACATGTTGGCAAATATGTTGAGTTAATATAATATACTAATAATAATAGTATATCGTACTGAGGAAAACAATAACTATCTTAACCTGCACTTGGTTATGACTACGGATTCTTATCTTAAGTATTTGTAGGAGAGGCTGTGCCAAACAGCATCATCCCTGTCCCTGTCCAGCGCGGTGTCACCTGAGATCTCTGCAGCAGCACGAGCTGTTTCAGAGCGTGGCAGATGTCTGGCTCCTGCTCTGTTCCGGCCCAATCAGCACTTCAAAAAACCCGTGCTGCAACCTTTAAACTATTTCACACACTCTGGAGGGCGAGTGAAAGCCAAGCAAATGCATTCTTGCTATCGCTGTAAAAGTGTTTCGGGGGTCTACTCCTCACTTTTCAAACTTCTGGTGTAAATATTTCTGCAGAATGTTTCTCTGCGAATCATTAATTTATTAGAGAACTGGCAAGAGCATCATGCGGCACTGTCGACACAGACATCTCTGAGAATTTACTCAAAGGAATTCCATCAACCTCTTGTCATCATCAGCTACGTTGAGTAAAAACAGCTACACATGGAGATAAATGTGCACAAGCAAACAGAATGAGAGCATGTACAGGGAAATTTAAAAAAGCCTACGTTTTCTTTTTCTTTTTTATGGTTGCAATGCCTGACCTACAACGACAAAATGCACAGATTACCACGTAATTTGGTGGAAGGATGTGGTATGGGTCAGGAAGTAACCCATTTAGTTGTGGTGTAGATCAGTTTTCACTTTCTTTAACATTGCGAGATTGCGCATTTCTCAACATTCAAATATATCAAATAATTCATAGACCTTGATGAAAAAAAATATACTGATATTTTATGTGTGTGACATTTGGTGAAGAGGGGACAGTTGGGAATCGGTGGAGATATGCACTCTCTGAGGTTCTTCATGTGAATGTTGTGTGAAATAACTGATTAAACCTTAACTAAGCACAGAATACAGTTAATATCAAACCAACACAGGATTTTGTATCTGAAACATACACTTTACTAACTGAACAAGTCTCGTCACACTCACAAACTCTGTGGCTCTGTCCTGAACAATCACATGGGAACTTAACGTTTTCCCAAGAGGTTCGGACTGACTTTAAAAAAGTCTTCTGACTTAACTGTTATGCTGTCATCCTACATCAAGACTTCAGTGCGAGTGGAGATTGTTTCCAGCAGGGGGCTGGCCAGCTGAATGGCTTTACAACAGTGAATCCCCCCCCCCCAATGCTGTGTGGTCCACTGAACTGTGAACTCTCTCATCCGTGGTCCTCCGAATGTATCTGTATCTGTCCGTCCCTGTGCGCCGGGATAATGATCATGCTACGCCGCGTAATTCTGAGCTGCCGAGTGGCCGTCAACCACCACCCACTTTATACACCACATCTGAAATTCATCACCCATCTTCAGCCTTGATGTTTGCGTGTGTGTGTTATCACAAATACCGTGGAGGTTCAAAGTTATCCAGCAGCCCCTGAACATAACACAAGATTAACTGTGTGCTGGGCCTGAACTAACTGATTAGTGTCTTTACTATAGAACTGTGATTTATAGAAATGAGAGCTGTATTGGAATCGAGCAGCTAAAAAACACAGACGATGAATGCTGACAGGACGTAGTGGTGAACTGCAGGAGACACTGGTGAGGAGCGACCCAAGCTCTGAAGATACCCTGCTGTTATCAGACACTCTGCTTTGATAGTGTAGATGAATTTAAGTTATGATGGGCAGGAGACAGGGATGCATCTCTTGTTTCCTTTGCGACTGCAGAGGATTGGTTCATGGGGGTTTCCCCTGCTCTGGTCTCTTCTTCCTCTGTTGACTCTGGAATATATATATCTGACCTTATGTATCCACTCATAAGGGGGGAAGTGAAACTCTAGAATGTTTACTGGGTTCGGTGAAACTCAGTGCCAGTGGCTTTTGGGCGCTAGTATGTTTACAAGTGTGCACTGGTAAAACAAGGTCAAATCAAGTTGTGTTTGTGAATGTCGAGCCAGATGAAATAAGGGAAGGGGAACAATCATGAAATGTTTTCCTCTGTAGATAAGTCCTGATGCATCACCTTGCTCTTGTCTTGTGGAAAAGGTTTCATGGTGACAAACACTTACCTAGATACTCCATCAGTTGCTCTGCGGTTATAATCTCCATCATGGGTGGCATCTTAACCTGCAACACAGACATGTGGACACTCATTTGTGTATTTCCCCCTTCATCAGACAAGGCATGGCAACAAGTTCATACAAAACTATACACTACTGACACATCAGCTGGTAAAAAAGGCCTCACATCCCTCCTCAGCGTTCAACGTGTGCTGACATGGTGAAGTACATCTATATCTAATGCTGACATTGAGAAATCATATATGAGCGAGTCCTGACAGACATGTTAAAACAGGAAAAGCAGAGGGATAAACAGGCAGTGTATGTTGTTAGCAGGTCTAATTGTGAGATTATGAGTCTTACAACAAATGTTCCTCTGTGATAATATGAAACCACTGATGAGAGAGCTCACAGCTATTCCTCATGAAACACGACTATTTGTATTGAGTTAGAATCAAGTTTCTATTGATCCGTGCTCATCTCAGAGTCTTTACCTTCCATGCGAGCAGGAGGACATTCATAATTGCCAGTAATGGACACGGGCCGTTCTCGTTCTGGGTGATGATGGGAGTGTTCTCCTCCCTCCACTTGATCCACTTAATGTGGTATATGGACTGTCCGGCGGCCCGGTCCTTACTGCAGGCGGTCTTGGTCCCCTCGGCCCCGAACTCGCTCTGCAGGGCCAGGGCCAGCCCCCGGTCCTCCAGCCCCTCGCTGTTCAGGTCCGAGCTGGGGCACGAGTTGAGGTTGGAGAAGGACTCGAGTGAATCGATGCTTCGGGACTCTCCGCCGAGGCTGGCATCGCGGTCACTCCCACTCGGCAATCCCTCGGATAAGGTGCGATCGCCGGACTTACAGTCCGCTGTGATCGCGTCGTCCGGACACAGAAGCGTCGGCTTGGCAAGTTTAGTCGCTTCACTTCCCGCACAAGCCGAACCCGCGCTCTCCTTTGCGGGAGGCGAGGACGGCCCGTCGGTTGTGTTGTTTACTAACTTTGAGGCACCACCCTCCATATCTCCTGAGGCCAGCAGCACCGAGTCATGCCCCATCCCGTTACTGATCCGATCCCCGCACCACGATCCGCTCCCCTCGGGTTTCGCACCCTCCTGCGCGGGGAGGACTTGGACCGGCTCCGACACGTCAGACTTCCCGGCGCTGGACGTGACAGGAGCGGCGCCGGGAGCAGCAACGTCCGCGGTGCTGTCACTACAACTGGCGTCCACCAAAGTACCGAGGGGAGCCTCACTAGTCCTGCATTTCTCGGCGGCTCCTTTCACTCCGCCGCCGACCGAGACGTCGCCCATCTCCGGCGCGATCGTGGCGCACACGGAGCTCCCGTCGGCGTCTCGGTGCAGGTTTGCATTTTTCTCCATGTCGGTTCACGCACTGTCGACAGATTGTTTTTTAGCTAAATTGCAGCAGCAGCACCTTCGGTCCCAAAGACGCCATGACAACTCTGCGAGTGACGTCATCAGCGTGAATCGCTTTCAGGCCGAGGAAGAGGGCGGGGCGGCCCGGCACTGCTGCGTTTAAGGGCGCTCGTATTCTGTACAACTGTAACCCATCCGAGTTTTTCATTCTAACAGTTCCACAAACATCTCTGTCTTTTTGAATTAGAACCAAATGTCTCATATTTACCAATGGAATGAGGTTTTAAAATGCAGATGTAATGTTGATAAAAAATATTTCATTTAGGACAATTATTCTTTTTGGATTACTGTACAAAATTGGACTTCTGAAAAGCACCCTCACTCAAATGAACATATGATGTCATTCCATTGATTATAGGATTATATTATACTTTAATCATTTTAGCAATACGGTTTATTCTGATGCAGATGTACGAATAGAAGATTTACATTTTTAACACTAAAATGAAAAATACCTTCTTATTCAATTACACTATTATTTCCAGCCTTGACCTCTGACCCTTTCTTTCTTTCTTTCTTTCTTTCTTTCTTTCATTTGTTGTTTCCTTTTGTTGTCTCTTTATGTTCTATCTCTTCATCCACAGTCTGGTTTTATATGCTGTTCTTGAATTGACAACATCAAATCTGTATTGGCCAATATTTGATTCTTAATAGATTAAATAAAAAAACAACATATTGTATGCTAGCTGTATTTCATTTTTAGTGACTAGGATGAGTAGACGGTCTTGGAGAGTAAACTGTATACATTTTTTTGCCACTGTAGCAAATTATTGTATTGTTAGTTGACTCCCATCCTCAAACTTGTAGGAATGAAGAGTGAGTGTATACAAGACTATATTTGCATGTTTATTTCAATATCATCTTATACATTACGCACAAATACAGTAGGTATACATCCTCGTGCTATCATCCTGTGCTGCTGCACTTTACTCAAGCACGTTTCTCTCCAAATAATACGTGTATATCATTTATATGTATAACACATGCATATTCTCTGAATTTTTATTTGATTGAATCATCTTCTATTTTATCTTATCTTTACGTGTCAAAATAATTCCACGAGCTCAAATCTTTGAGGTGTTTATCTGACCATTGAACTCAAAGCTTTGAGTTCTCCCTTTGACGAGGATTCCTGAACGCAGAATGAAAAGAACCTGCCTTGGCCGTGACCGTGTTGCGCATGCGCATGTGTAAAGGGAGTTCTCGCGTGACCTGACCTCCCGAGCGCCGTCCACAAACGAGACTTCAGAAATGTTGAGGCAGTGAGTTTAACCATTAAAAGTTTTTAAATATTTTTCTACATAACGACGTGTTGAATTTCTCCGAATAAAGTCCTCTGATCATATGAGACAGTTATTACATATTGTTTATTATCCTGACACTGTCACATGCAGTAACTCTGTAGAAACACTGGGTGGCAGTCATTTCTCAGCTGGACATGAGCGTCACATCTCTGTCAGACTGTATGACGACATTCTTCCAACATGAATGGTTCTTTATTAGTGAGACAATGACAGTGCAGAGGAAGCCTTGCAAAGGAAGGTTTAATGTTTCATTTTGTGTTAGTTTTTAGAAGAGAAGTAGTTTGAATGATTTCAGACTCTACATGCCACCACATTCAGAGTAAATCATTTCATCCAACATTGATCTGATTGTTGTAACTGTTCTGTGCTTCATATAAAGACTTCTACTGCACTAATAAAATAAATGATTTTCACCATTTTCACTCATTACTTTGATTTCTCAATAACTGTATTGATTGTGATTCCAAATGAGTCTGTCTGAACACATGTGAGTGTTTGGGGTATTTTCAAACTCCTTTTTCATTATGGTACTCATAAGTAACTACACGAATATTATTAGGTGACACAGATATTTCACCTCACTCGTGTTCATGGTGACCCCCACACTGTCAGTATGTCAAGTTTCAGAAGATTTTACTGTAGAACTTCTGAGAAAATTAAAGGCATATTTGGCTCCTTTGTCATTATGGCACTCATAACTTGTTCGTACTAAATATTATCATAAAAACACTTTGAGAGGTTTCTCAAACTTGACATATAGACAGTGGGGGTCACCATGAGCATGAGTGAGGTGAAATATCTGTGTCACCTCTACAGGACGTTTTTTAAATCATATTTAATATGAGTGAGTTATGAGTTCCATAATGAAAAAGTTTTTTCTAAATGTCCCTTTCGATTTTTACACAAGACATTTATTTAATATTCAATGTCATTAAACTTGTTAATGTTTTGCGTGGGAATCAAATTAATCTTTAATCTCACAAATCTCACATGACCGCAGTGTTTCATTGATCCATCGATCACAATAGATAGTGATAGGTGTGTCCGGGCTCTGTGTGTGTGTGTGTGTGTGTGTTTCTCTCTCTCTCCCTCTCCCTATGTTTGTGTGTGTTTGTTTCTCTCACTCTCCCTGTGTTTGCGTCTGTGTGTGTTTCTCTCTCTCTCTCTCTGTTTGTGTGTCTCTCTCTCTCTCTCTCTCTATGTTTCTCTCTCCCTGTGTGTTTCTCTCTCTCTGTGTTTTTGTGTTTCTCTCTCTCTCTGTCTCAGTCTCTCTCTCTCTGTGTGTTTGTGTGTTTCTCTCTCTCTCTCTCTCTCAGTCTCTCTCTCTCTCTGTGACGTCAGCCTGGCTGGTGGAGAGAGAGGCAGGGCCGAGCGGAGCGGCTGGTGTGTGTGTGTGTGTGTGTGTGATGGTTCCCTGTAAGTAGGAAGGGCGGCTGTGTCTTTAAGTGACAGAAACCAAAAGAAGAGGCAATCAGCGCCGTCGCTGGGTCGCTTATCTACCTGTGCTGGGACCCACCGGGGATTTCGATATGATTTTTGTTAAAGTGGCTCTCATGTTCTGCCTCCTGACAGATATCTCAGGTGAGTTCTCGGCCGACTCGCGGGGAAAGGAAAGTGTTGAGTGGTCGTCAGCGGAGCTCGAGCTAATCCGATAAGGCAGTTGTACTCCGGCTATCTAACTTGCTAGCTAGCTGGCTAACGCTACCAGAGCAGTGTTTTTGCGGCTGCTAACCAGTGTTTATTGACACAGTGTGAATCTGGGACAGGTCAGAGAGGCTGCTTCGACTTGGTGGCAGGTTCATTGAATGTGTTTGACACAGGGGAAGTTCACCAATGGAAGAACAACCTGTGGTTTTTGACAGCGAGAGGTGAACTAACGTCACGGCGCTAACAAACACCGCAGCAGTTTGTGTGCAGCTAACAAACTAACAGACACAGCAGTAGTTGTTAAATAGTTTAGCTGCGCTTGGAAATGTATTTAAAGTGGGTTTCTGTGTAGACACAGGAGATGTCCCACTGCTGACAGCTCGCCCCTGACAGCAGCACACATCTGTGAGCTACATTCATTGATTTCGTTCAGCTACTGACCTGTAGTGACCCTCACTGAGAGTTACTATTGTAAAACGAAAACGCGTCAAGTCGCTGAATAATCATGTGTAGGGATGGTTTAACGAATAGGTTTGGATTGTGTTGGAGGCAGAAGTTGCAAACTCCAGTGTTGTGTAACTGAGGAAAATAAAAGTCAATGAAGATGAGTCAAATTGTTCAGAGGTGTTGTTATGGTTGAACAACATCAGGAGCTTCATAGAAACGGGAGCTGCCAAATACATGTAAATCATCTGGTCATTGTGAATCGTGAATTCAAAGTGTTTATTATTCTTTCATAATCCTTGACATCACTACTAGAAATGCTCAAGTCACTAAAACGAGAAGTAGGAGCGAAAGCAGTGTAAAACCAGGACAGGAAACAAACTAATCAAGCAGTTTTTAGTAAGCACCACGCCTCTCTATCGGTGAATGTCAGCTTGATCGCTCCCAAAGTGTTGGCCTTTGACTTAAAGGTGCAGTGTGTAGAATTTAGTGATATCTAGTGTTGAAGTTGCATGTTGCAGCTGAACACCCCTCACCAACCTCCTTTTCCAAACATGAAAAATAAACTGTGGTAGCCTTTAATTGTCATAAAAACTCAAAAGGTGTTTAGTTTGTCCAGTCTGGACTAATGTAAAAAAACATGGCGGCCTCTGTAGAGAGGGTCCCCTCGATGTAAATATAAAGTATTTAAATATAAAGGACCTTTTCTGGGGTAAAGAAAACTACAATTCATACAATTTAGATGAAACAAACTAGTGAAAACATCATGAGGATTATTCTACATTAAATATCTGCCAATAGTTCCCTTTCACCTAAATCTTACACACTGGACCTTTAATACAATTTAGAAAACATTGGATTTTATTTTTGAAGCATTAATGCTTTTTAAATGCAGCACTCATTTCAAACAAACATATTTTTTCTCTAAAGCTTATAATGCTTAATGGCTCTGTGGCTTGATTCATATATGTTTTATGGTGCCTACCCGTTCTTTTCCTAGTATACGTGCTTATACTTTATATTTATTAATCTGTTTTTTTAAACCGTCTCTGTACAAGTCTGATCCTTGCATTCTGCCTGGCACATAAGCAAGTGAGTTCTGCTGGGGTTGTGTTTTGTGAACTTTGAGAAAGCCCTCCTTTTTCTTTACGCATACCTGACATCTATCTTTTCATTCATTGGATTGCGGTTTGTCAGCTGCACCGAGGCTGCGTGCACACAAATCAAAGTGATGGGAACTGTTTATATTCCCTCAAGATTGGGCAAAATTGGGATAAAAGATGTCCTAACCCATAGCTACAAAGCCAGCTTCCCTCCTTCGAATACACTGCAGACGGTCCTAAAAATTCAGGATCAATGTGAGAGGTTTGTTGAAAAAGCTGAATTCAGAAATATCTGAGGAAATCAGTCATATAAACAAGTTTTTATCACTTTGGACAACGTGGCCTGTGTCAAGGTGTGATGCTGAGAATTTTTGATCCTCAAATTGCATCTTGAGCAGTCTTGGTCAGATGTATTTCTTGCAGATTACGACCAACCCTCTTCCTGTTTTTCCCCCCCAGTACTGTTCATGCACAATGTTGAAGGAAGACATTAGACTTGCCCTGAGATGTGGGGTTTCAGAGGTGTCATGTTAGATAACCTGCAGTCACACTGCATGTATGGTAATGCCAAGCTCAGATCAGATGTGAACCATGCTGTTACCACCTCCTCTGTTCCTGTCAGCGCTTTCCTCTCTGACAAGGATTGCACTTCACATATCACTGGGGTACTCAGGGCTGAAATGGATTGCACTGAAAGTATGATGACATTGCCGTTTACAATGAGATTGACTGGCAGGTTTTTCTCCATCTTGCTGCCTTCGAGGAAAATTCAAGTATTAATCTATGTAGGAGTAAAGTAAGGATTGTTGCATTACTGTCAGGTTTCAGGAGGTTTTTTTCAGTAAAGGGTGAATGTTTTAAAAATCAGTTTTTGGTCATTAATCTGGCAACACATTAAAAACATTAATATAACACATCCCACTTTATATTTAACAAAAAATATTTCATGAATCCATTCTGATCATATTTGAGTTTGACTCAATATGTTGCAATCATAAATTAAATAATGCTAAATAATGAAATGTTAATAAATCTTATTGAATTAAAATGTTTGAAGCAGGTTGACTTTTATACAAGGTACAGGCTGGCTGCTTAAAGTGAATGCTGTGTTTAATACTGGTGGGAATGTTGTAACACAAGTTGGTCAATGTGGTTGAGTAACAGTTTGAAAAGTAGCCTGGGGCCACATCACATTCTTGGATCAGAAAATCCAGAGTCTCTTATCTTTTTATAAAATCTTTTTGCCAAGAGAGGGATAAAGAATGCCATGCAGCAAAGGTCATCATAGTTGAACTGGGCACATTGCATTGTTCTTGGTGGGATCTTTAACCCCTCTACTCTCAGAAAGCCCTGATTAACTCACATTTTTAATTTGCTGATCTGGTTAATGGTCCAGTTTGTAAGATTTAGGTGAAAGGGAACTACTGGCAGATATTTAATGTAGAATAATCCTCATGATGTTTTCACTAGTTCGTTTCATCTAAATTGTATGAAGTTTTCATTACCCCAGAAAAGGTCCTTTATATTTTTCATGTTTGGAAGGAGAGGGTGAGGTGAGGGGTTTTCAGCTGCAACATGAAACTTCTCCACTAGATATCACAAAATTCTACACACTGAACCTTTAAGTTGCTGGCAATATCTCGCCCATTGCCTCTGTATTAAAAAATTGTGATCACAGGTTTTAAGTCTTATAATAATAACCTCTTTGAACACTTTTTTATTTAGATTTTTATGTAAAACAGCTTTAGAGTATGCTGCCTGTCTTTATGAACATGTTCATATTCTACTTTTGACCTTATTCTGGATGTGACGTGATGTTTACATGGATAACAGGGTAAACTGGTTATTCAGTCCTCTATAGACAAGGTTATCGTCTGTCTGGATGTGCTTTACATTCCTCGACATTGCAGTCTCTCTGTTATTTCTCTAAATGGAATTACCTCAGCATTTTCCACTTTTTGCTGCGTTTAGCTTTTACATCTTCTCATCAGTATTAACTGACAGTAAGCATTTCCCCTGCATACTCAGTGACAGACTTTCACTGCAGTGTGTAAAACAACTTTGCATCACATTTGTATTTGATGAATAACTACTGTATGTGACCTATCTAGCTGTGACAGAATTGTCACAGCATATTCTTTTTTCAAAAACTGCAAAGAAGGTTTATTCAGTTATCTGAAACCAGGATGTAATATTTACATACTCAAACTGTCAGTCCAGTAGCACTTATAATCAGGAGGGGATGTGCATGTAAAGGAACTCTGCGGTTGCTACATTCTGTTATACTTGTATACATGTTCTCTTTTTTTTTGTTGATCATTTATCCATTGGCAATCTTGACAAGTCATCATTGTGCTGCCTCTGTTATTTATGCATGAAGTAGTCATGTCATATGGAGGAAGTGGGTATGGGCATTCTGAGTTTGTTTTGGTACAAAATCAACTTATTCCCTTATTAGTTATAATTCACTCTTCTCACCTCTGAACCCATTGTTTTGATTTCCGTTCTATTTGTTGGTTCAGTCTAGATTACTGTCATTAGTTTTATTGCTAGAAAAGTGCAAGATTGCTGGAAGATGGTCTCTTTGCATTCATGGACAAGTTGCTACTAGCCTGGTGCAGCCTCTCCCTGTTTGGGAGCTGTTACTCCCACCACATACAAACACAGTAATGAACAGAACTGTGCAGTGTAAAAACACAGTGAAGGTGGAGAACCTTCCTGTGGGAATCTTGTAGTAAGGTTCATTCATTATAAAGCTCAGCTCCCAGTGTCAAGTCTCAGCTCTTAATAAACCTCTTTATAAAGGCAAATTTTGTCGCTCATAGCGGAGGTTTTCCTGTTAGGACCCAAACGTTCAGATATTTAGTTCGCAGCATTCTGTTTTGCCTTGGAATGTAGATTAGCATTTGAACAGTCTGCAACAAACCCAGCCAGTGAGCCTGCACAATGACATACAGTACCACTGAAACAGAACCTCAGTCACCTGATGCCCATCACATGCTCCTCACTTGTGCTTTAAACTGACCGCTTTCTTTGTCTTTGTGAAAAGAACAAAGAAAACAGTGGGTTTAAAAGCCAACAGGATTATCTCTGTGGGCTCACGTCAATAAGCTGAATAAGCCTTTTAAGCATAACTAGTCAGTGACAGCTTGTACTACAACTGACAGCTTTCTTTTCCCAACCTGGTTTTATAAGAGTTTTTAATGGAGAACTTTTCACTTTTCACTGTCAGAAAAGCATACGGTAACATCATTGTTTGTTTCAAGTCAAGACCAAAACCAACATTCATATCCAAAATTATGTTATTTGTTGTGCCTTTCACTGTGTTTGTCCAGTGTAACAAACCTAGTGTTAAAAAGAAAAAAACATATGATTAGTTTTGTTAGCAATAGAACAATTGACATTTAAAGACATGAGGTAAATCATCCACTGTTTACCACACTATGCTACCCTTCTTTTCCTGAATTTGCTAATGGGAGATGTTGCAAGTTGTAATATGTGTTGCATCAGTTAAATTCTCTATTTGTTGGATAACAGGCTATTAAGTAAACCCAGCATGAATATATATCAATACAAAATGTGACTTTCCCCTAATGCCTTACAGCAGATTTTTGTTGACAAACATTGATGAGTCATTGAATTCTCTTTCAGGTCAGTCTGGGAACCCATTGAACAAATATATTCGTCATTATGAAGGTCTATCATATGACACAGAGGCCCTGCACAGCAGTCACCAGAGAGCAAAGAGAGCACTCTCTCCTGCAGAGAGGGCCGTGCACCTGGACTTCCACGCACACGGAAGGTCAGTTTGAGTACACACAGCGGCATTCATTTACTCTTTCTGTATTTCAACTTTCTTTTTTTAGGCATATATTTGTCCTTCCCAAAGCACTCCAGTATATTGTAATATACAGTTATTGTAATACGTGGTAATAGATTTACCGAAATTCAGAGCTTAAAAATCCACATATTGGAAAAGTGCTAACTTGTGTGAAAGTTAAAATAAACTCAGACATTTTAGTGTGAGTCATTGATCTTGTGTTGAATGAGTTTTCTACCTGCCACCACAGTAAGGACTTAGTAGAACCATGCAGCGCCAACATTGACAAACCATGTTATTGCAAGCTGTAATCAAATCCTTCCCTTTTTTGTCATGTTCTTCCCTGTGTATTTCATCTGCCTCTGCTTTCAATGACATGTAACATGAGATGAGCCCTTGTCAAGGCTAGGTTGTTGAACTACAGTGAGGCCAACACTGTTTGGGACACAGATAATTTGAGGCCCCATACAACACTGTTTCTGTTTTCTGATCTGAAAACTCTGGTTGTCAGAGGCATACATCTGTTATATATGTCATGTTGTTGTGAGACTGGTAGTTACAGTATCTCTTACCAAATCGATAGAATAAGCAATTTTCTTTACTGGAATCAGGAATCAAAGATATAGTTCAAAAAGATTGAGTACAGTGAAAGGCTACAACTCCAAGGAGTCACAGAGTCATGACTGTCTCTCCCAAAGTAGACCCCAGGTAAGGACTGCTGCATAATGGCAACACATGACATAGAAAATGCTGATGTGCTGGCTTGTCTTCACTCACAGCCAATAAAAGTTTGTTTTCTGCTGCTTTGAACACAAACATCTTCTCGTTGGTATACACACACACACACACACACACACACACACACACACACACACACACACACACACACACACACACACAGAGTAAAGCACATTTTAAAATACTCTCTTGTAATCTTGGTGCAGTTCTGGGGCCAATCTTACTAATGGAAAATGTATTTCTGTCTCTGTCTGTCTCATTTCTATCTGTGTTTTTCTCATTTTCTCTTTCACCTAGCACTACATTAAAGAAAATAATATTTACCTCAGCAACACTGTTTTTCCAGCCAGCTTCCTGTGTTTCCCTCTTCACCAAGCCTGTCTGTTTTGGGTTATCTGTCAAACAGATACTTTTCCTGTACATTTAAGCTCCTTCCTGTCATTGCTGGAGCTGCTTGTATTGGTGAGGTAATCACAGAGTCACAGCATGACCCTCTCCATGGTGTCTGAAGAAGACATGAACAACATTTTGTTGAACTGGAGCTGTTTTGCAGTTTCGCCTGCAGTGAATCTACTGGAAACAAACTGTCAATGAAAAAAGTGGTGCTACATAGAAAATAACACATAGAGGAGCAGCACAGACAATTGATTGATCTATGAATAGAATTAATTATCATTGGAAGTGTCCATTAACAATTGGTTGTTACATAACATAATAATTCTTCAGGCTGTAATGTAACACCACTGTGAAAATTGAAAATGAATGTCAATTGTGTGGTGTCCATTCGAATCTGTTTGGAATGGGATGTTTGTTTGGCCTGTGGTGATGGTAGCAGCTTTGTGTGTGTGAAACTGTAGTAGTTGAGCATCAGCAGGTAAAGACCAGCTGCAGGACTCAGTCTGTAGAACCCTTAAGCCTCCTCAGCTGCACAAAGAGCTGTTTACAATTCAACTAGGTTATGTCAAGGCTGTTGTCTATTTTGCACATAGATCTCAGTGTTTTACATAGTATTAATAAACTTATCTTTATGAGGAACAGAAGCAAGCTAATGGTCATATAGCTATTATCTTAAACTTTGCATGCAGTGTGTACAAACACAGACAAACACTCTACCCTCTGTGAGTGAGGCTTGTGGCACTGTAGAGGTTTGTTGTAACAAGAGAAAAGCGTACTTGTTTTGGCCCACTCACATATTTGTGGCTGGATCAGGTGACGGAACAAGGCAGGGCAGACGGTTGTCACTGCGGAGAGCTTCTTTACAGAAAGAGATGCCAAAAGATTGTGGTAAAGCGTTAGTTGATACAATGCTGGTGGAAGTGACTCACGGTTTGTGTCGAGCTCTCTAAGAATGAAACGTTAGATGTGCTTGTTCTTAATCTTTGTTGCATGTGAAAAACCTCCCTAACATCAAACGTGAACCCTTGTAGAGCGAGCAGCTTGTGACTGTGCTGTCTCCCTTCCTGTCTGGAGCACATGGGGCCTTCAGGCCTCTGGGCAAGTGAGAAGGATAAAGTATGGCTTTTCTAAATGTTGTTGCATTACAGTAAGTTGGATGCTCTTTCAGGAAATCTAATCGTGTAACAAAACTGCATATTATTTTTCTTATAAACCATGAAATGTTTTATAAATATCAGCTAGATATTGTTCCCTCTGTAGGCTTATCATCTCTATGGACATGGCTTCAGGGCATGCTGTTTCTTTTAGCTGGCCTGCTTACTGAGCAAAGAATATGACTGTCAGATGCTTGAGTCAGTATGTTCAGAGTTTGAGAAGTGTCTGAATAATTTATCAGTCAGCCGCTTCTCCAAGAGAAATCGCCCTGACTTGCTCGTCAGATGCCTCAGCAAAGTTTTTTTTTTTTTTGCCTTTAACTTGGTGATTTTATTTCATTCTTTCTTCGTCTTTTTCTTTTCCTCTTATTTTTCACTGTGTAAAAACTGGGATAATGTTTGACTGTTCAGTGATTTCTTGGCTTTCTGTCCTAAGACATTTGGAAAGGTTTGCAGTTTCAAAGAAACTAGTGTTAATGTGTGTTTGGTACTCAGGGATCCATCTCTTCTTAAGAATAAAGGATAATCAACTTTTTAGCAATTTCTTTATAATATAGATTAAAGTCCTAAGAAAATAATCTATTTTTGGACTGATATTCGGCAGAAATGAGTGTTGCACCGGGAGTCACGGTTTGACTGATCTTTGGGTGGGGGCTTACATGGAGTCATATTGATTGTTGTAAGGGCCAGGAGGAACTGAAGTGGGTGTTTCAGGCTGAATAAGAAACAGAAAGATTTATGATAAATCTTTTGCCAGTCTTTGTTCCACATTTAGCAGTTCTGACTTTTGTGTGTGTGTGTGTGTG